GTGACTTGGTGCCTCATAACAATATGTATTGGAAATTGTATTTACTTGTCCGGGAAATTTTACTCATTGTATCATGCCCTTACTTTTCTTCTGGGACAGATATTTATTTAGGAGTACTCGTTCAAGAGCACCATGAATTATACTTGCAACTTATGAATAAGCCATTGAAACCAAGACATCATAATTTATCGCACTATGGAATCTGTATGAAACGTAATGGACCATTAGTGAAAGTTGATACTATGACCTCAGAGAGGAAACATCGCCTGTCAAAATTATATGCAAGAGCCATGAATTCTAGAGTTAACCTTCCACTTTCTGTAGCTATCAAAAATCAACTTCTGTTAAGGGGGCAGTAGCGTCTTTTGCACGTGTTTTGACGATTTTCGAACCTCCTGTTTGGACGTTAATATAAAGATAAGTATGAATGCCAGAGGCAAACGGCAGGCACCATTTGAAAGATAAAAGTTATTACAACATTTTCAAAAAAAAATATTTTGTTTTAGCATTGAATTAGGATGTTTTGTGTTATATGCAAAAATGGTCTGCAAAATTACATGGTTTCACTGCGCGCACGATTGCAGCCAAAGTTTTTAACTTTTTACCAATCGGTAAAATGCATCTGAAAAAGCATGAAATTGCCCATAAAATGACCCTTGGGTTTTAATATTGGGCCAGAAAAAATGTGGTTCGTTTCCATCTTAAGTTGAAGATGAGCGTTTCAATAGTTTTTCTTGCCCAATATTGAAACCCAAGGGTCATTTTATGGGCAATTTCATGCTTTTTCAGATGCATTTTACCGATTGGTAAAAAGTTAAAAACTTTGGCTGCAATCGTGCGCGCAGTGACACCATGTAATTTTGCAGACCATTTTTGCATAGAACACAAAACATCCTAATTCGATGCTAAAACAAAATATTTTTTTTTGAAAATGTTGTAAAAACTTTTATCTTTTAAATGGTGCCTGCCGTTTGTCTCTGGCATTCATACTTATCTTTATATTAACGTCTAAACAGGAGGTTCGAAAATCGTCAAAACACGTGCAAATGACGCTATTGCCCCCTTAAGTGATCATTTACTCCATGTTGGTGATAGAGTCTTGGATCCTGAGGCTGGCATAGATTTAGTTTTTCTCAGGAAGGTACTTGTAAGAAATCTTGAAAGCTTTGAAAGATTTGTGAATGTTATTCCTTTTGATGCTGATTTAAGTGTGTCGACTGTCAGGTCTGTGACCATTTGTGGTACAAAATATTGTGTTGGCATGGTGATTGTTGTCAATATTGCTGAATTATACCCCACATTTGCAAAGATTGTTCATATAATGTCTGACAATGGTTCACATTTTGGCTTTGTTTTGAATGTTAAACATTCTGTCATGTATCATGATCATTTTGGTGCTTTTGAGGTAGAAGACACTGGAGTCTTTATGTATTTGTCCCATCAGGACTTTATTAGTTATCTACCTTTATGGGAGAGATTAAGTGTTGATGGTAAAAAATTTATTTCTTTAAGAGTATCTCTGTAAACCCTTGTATTCTGCAAGATTTATGTGAGTAATAGTTTGTTGTTTACCTGTTACATTATCGTTGTGACTTTGATCATAGAGGACAGTGAAACAAATAAAACGCCATTTGTACTTGAACCATGTATTTTCTTTGATACACACTTATTACAAACGCACGTTGCACCAAAAGCAGGGGATTATCCGAAATGCAGCTAAAAATTAGAGCGCGCCTTGACGTAGCGCCTGTCACCGGGAGGGCGGGCTAGCCCGCAACACAGACGTGCTTGCCGGGACGGCCTACCCACCATCATCATCATCATCATCAAGGGCTGGACCACATATGATCGTATGCCATTTCGGGCCCGACACATGCCCGCCTGCACTGCAAAACGGGACAAGGTCGTCCTTACTAAGGTGGTACTTTACCTCGGCGGAGGGAACCTCAGCGGCTGCACGCTCCGGCTCGCAGTACCAGTCCTTGGGGTTGGGGGCCTATGTTCCCCCGAAAGGGGTCGCGTAGACCTCCGCCCCGGAACAGCCTCTTTGAGCACTACCGAGTCCGGTACCCCCCTGCTTCGTCCCATAGTTCTTGGGAACAGAGAAGGTTTCTTCTTTGTCTTCTGTCGTGGTGCGTTGGCGATATGTTTTTAAGTTTTGTTCTTCGCCCTTCTCCTTTCTTCATGCGACCTTGCTGCCGCCGGTACGGCGCCGACAGGCTAGCCACACGACCAGGGATCCCTCTGGACGGGAAGCGCCGTATGCCTTGGTCCAATCCCAGAGAAGCAAGCTTCGGCGAGCGACCGTCACAAAACCCTCATAAACGCAACAAAAGGCACGCAGGGCACGCAGCACAGTGGCGCGAAACGCCAAAAAATGCGACATCGCGCGATTTAAAATAATTTTCCGATCTGTCTGCTTTTTTCACTGCATATGGTCATTTTATGATGTTCTCTAGCAAAAGAAATGAGTTCCAAGTAATAGCTGGGCATATAAAGCTAAAAATCGCGAAAAACATGAAAATATTGTACCAAAATCTGCCATTTTTTACACGTTTTTTGCCTGTAAAAGCGACATTTTTTTCAAACGGGCAACTTTTCTCAACAGATTCTGAAAGCCAAGGACAAGGCCTACAACTTTTGTTATGGTCGCAACGCTGTAGCGAGGTCGGCCATTCGACTTTTCTGGCCTCAAAGGTTTTTCTTTCGTAAATTTAATTGGAAAATTATTCCTATTTTGACAAATTTTGTTATTTTTGTGCCCCTGAGGTCTGTGTTGCCTCGTTACATCTATTTCCAGTTCATATAAACTTGATTGGATGGATTGATACTGGTTTGGACGTAAAACGGACCGCAGGGGCACAAAAATAGCAAAATTTGTCAAAATAGGAATAATTTTCCAATTAAATTTACGAAAGAAAAACCTTTGAGGCCTGAAAAGTCGAATGGCCGACCTCGCTACAGCGTTGCGACCATAACAAAAGTTGTAGGCCTTGTCCTTGGCTTTCAGAATCTGTTAAGAAAAGTTGCCCGTTCGAAAAAAGGTCGGTTTTACGGACAAAAAACGTGTAAAAAATGGCAGATTTTGGTACAATTTTTTCATGTTTTTCGCGATTTTTAGCTCTATATGCCCAGCTAATACTAGGAAATCATTTCTTTTGCTAGAGAACATCATAAAATGACCATACGCAGTGAAAAAAGCAGACAGATCGGAAAATTATTTTAAGTCGCACGATGTCGCATTTTTTGGCGTTTCGCGCCACTGTGCGCAGGTCTGCCACGCCCCGCCACGGCCCGCCCTGCCTGCCGCCTCTAGTCTACCGAGACTTCGCGGACGACTCCCGAAAGCGTCTTCGGGGCTCGTCGACGACCGCACTCGGGTGCTGGCCCGCTGCAGCTAGCTGCAGCATGCAGCCATCCCCTCCACCGCGGTCGGTGCCGACGAGACCCGAACGACTCCCGAAGACCGAAAAAGTCGGCCGCGAAGTTGGAGTCGGGTGCGGGCGGACGGAGGCATGGCGTGGCAAGGCGTGCCATGGCGTGCCAACGCGTGGCGCGCGCCCCTTGTTGGCCTAATGAGGGCTCCACGACGGCCGCCCGCCGAAGCCCGCCTCCCCAAAACTGGACCCGCCTCCCGTCCAGAGAGACTCCCAGTCGTGTGGCCAGCCAGCCGTAGGTACACCGACCGATTGCACCCCAACGCCGAGCACGCCGAGCTGCCAGCTACACTCCTGGTTGTATACCTGCAATATTCGCGAAAAATAACCGTCGCTTTGACACTCCCTGCCGCCTCCCCCGCAGCAGAACTCGGCCGGGTCGTTGCCCGAGCAGCAACCTACGCCACGTGCTGGCCAGACCAGCAGGCCCAGGCTTGCCGAAACCTCGGCGGCATTCGCGTCTGAAAGGAGCAGCGGACAAACAATGCGGCTGGGGAACACCTGTATACTGTAAAGTTGTCATATCCTCCGGCAGCCAGGCCCAGGTCGGCCCGGCTCCGGCTCCGCGCCGTCGGCTGCACTTCGTGGGATTGGGCAGGCCACCGGCCCGCCCCGCCGGCCCCCTCCCCTCCCCTCCCCTTCCCGGTAGTTGGCATGGTGGGCGCGAAACTGCGGACACACTGCTAGCGACCGCTGTTGGGGACCGTCCGTAAGCGCCCCCGCCGCTGCTTCGTCTGGACACAAATCGCGGATTTTGGTCTTCGGTCGCAAGGAGTCGGGCTGGGCTGTTGTCCGTATGGTGGCGGTCGCGCTGTTGGTCTCGCGGTGACTGCAAGGCCCGCCCCTGGGTCGCGCTGGAGCCTCTTCCGACCGCGTCTCGCGGAGAACTCTAGAAGGGAAAGCGGATATGGACAGAACCGAGATAGGGTTATGTTGTTGGGGCGCGCGGATACAGCAACCGTGTAGCACTGCCGGAGGTGCACCGCCTGTGTTGCCGAAACGCGGCGCCGGGAATCCCTCGATGACGTCGACACGGCGCAGGGATTCGGGCCCGCGCCCCGCCCTCTCTCCGCACGCCACTGTCCGCCGTAGCTCGCCCTTGACCGACACAACATAATCAGCCCTTCTGCCTGAGCTCCAGCGACAGCTGACTCCTGTCGGTCCGACCACTTCGTCGACACACTCTGCCCTGGGACTATCGCGTGCCGGTGCTGAAACTGAAGTGTCCCATTGCTTTCAAGACCGGAACCTGGTAGGCCCGGCACTGCCGCGCGCCTGGAGCAGTCAGTGCCTGCCGCAGCACACAGCGACGACCACACAAACGCACTACCGTCGCCGCGAGGATAAGCGAGCAAGCTGGAACCTCGAACTTCAAACCGGAAACTTGGAGGACGATGGAGGCGCCACTCGCCAGCACGCCGCACCTGAAAACACTCTGGGGGCCTTCCCCCGGTGACCGACGGTCACCCCAGACCTTGCGCTGGAGGGGGCGGGGAGGCCCCTCCCCCCCTTCACTCCCTCTCGCTGGGGCCCGCGCGCTGCGTTGGATGCACTGGCTGGGCTGGTTGGTGTCCCTCTCTCCTCGCGTTGCGTCGTCCTCGGCGTTGGGGCGGGCGATGCGGCGCGGCGACGGCGTCTCTCGGTGCTGAGTTTGTGGTATCCTCAGGATGTGGGCGGTAGCACGGCACTAGTTCTAACCCTACCGATAGATAGACTCGCGGCACCCTACAACACTGGCTAGCCCGGCGGGCGGCTGCCTGGCTCGGCTCGGCTCGGTCCTCGCCTCGCACCAACGCGCTGCGCACCGAGCGCAGTTTGCCTGAAACGACGGCCGTCCCAGCCAAGGGAGGCCGATTTCGCGTCCCTTTGCCAGGTACGCTACGCGCCGCGTGCAGTTTTGCCTGCTTCGACGGTCGTCCCAGCGGAGGAAGACCGATTTCGCGTCCCTTTGCCAGGTAGCCGGAGGACGGTGCGCTCGCGACCGCTGCCTCCAGGCAACTCCGCCTACCCACCAGGCGCCCCACCTCTCAAAGAAACTGACTCGTAACACATGCGGCGGCCTGTGACTGCTCGCCCTTCCATACGCCGGTCGTAAGTAGAGGGCATCATTACAAGCAGACAGCAATGGCAACCCCCTACATGTCTAAACAGGGTGGCTCATAGCAAGTCTCAAAAAAATTCGGATTTCGGAAAGAGTGCGACGGCCCCTCGAGATGGTCTAGCGCCTTGAAAGTAGGCAATTCGCTAGCTCTTCAGCCGGTCAGTAGGCAAAAGGTGCGACACCCCAGCCCTTTCCCCTCCCCGGACTTGGATCTGGAGCCGCGCCTGTCCGCAGTGGTAATGATTTTCTTGTTTTCTTCAAGATTTCATTGGCGTTAAAAGGATTGAGAAGATTTTATTGAAAATTTCTAGCGAAAAGTCGGATTAGTTGGAGCCTGACAAAATTGTTATCCGATCCGCGCGAGGAAAGACGTGGCGCTGGACTTCAATGCAAACCAACTATGGAATCAAATCAAGAAGAATAGCTTCAATCCAAACGAAAAATACGCTCAGTTAGATCCCTGCAGTGCCAACTCTGGATTATTCTTCAATGAAATTCAGAATGACTTAGAAGCGTCTGATGAAAAAATATTCTTGTTTCAATGACAATTTGGATTGAATCAAGAAATTCGTTCTCTGGGTGTAGTCTTAACGTCATCAATTTTGTAATGATCATCATGAAACCTCGTTCTACGAATGCATAAACTTAGTTCCCGGCACTCACAAAAATTTGCTAGGGCGGCAAATTTTTTTTTGTCATCAGTGTCACAGTTTTGGGAGCCTGTACGAAACACCTGTTTACCCCAGCGCGTTACAACTGCTTCACGCCTCTTTTGTTGTAACGACGAAATTGTGAGGCTCTCGCCTAAAAGGGGTTGCAACCATGCTCAGAGGCACGATCTCCCTGTGACGTCAGCATCAGAGCTGCAAGCTCGGAGAAAAGAATCGAGCACATCGAAGTCCCCGGATGGGGATTTGAACCCGCACTCTTCGTATTGAGACGCGACATCGCAAGCCACTGCGCTGCCGATCTGCCTATGCTGTCATGGTCCGTCGCAGCGACTTGAACACTTTGCAGAAGCTGCGATCGTCCAGCGGTCCGGGGCTCGCGCGGGCAGCTCACAGCGTGAATCTGGTTGGGCAGAGACCCACTTCACGTTGATGTGTAGCTGAAGTAGTCATGACTTCGCTGCATCCTTTGATGGGTCGTATTATTCCATTCACCTCCGCCCGTTAAAATTTTGTAAGTCGGTTGTACTGATCAACTGTTTTATGCTTGGTCTCCCCGGGGACGCGCACCTTCAGAAATAACCACATCTGTAGAGAACCTGCACATCACGTGGCTCAGTTCCGTCCCTCATCGAACTCATTACTTGTAGCTTTGCCTACATGAGCCAATATATTTGCTTTCAGAACAATATTGGCTTCGTTCTCAGAACTAAAACTCAATCGCTCTTGAAGTCAAGAAACTAGTTACAGCAGCAAGTGTTTCTCGTTCCTTGAAGCTACAAATTTGTTTCAACTAGTAATCTTCTTAACGTTGCGACGGCAAGAAAAAAGTTTGTTGTCATAACCAACTTATTTTGCTCCGGAAAAATTAACTAACTTTTTCGTTGTCACAACTAACTTTTTTTCTCCGTGTGAGTATAGCACGTATGGTGCAATACAGCTGAGGTATCGCACCATACGTGCAATGCATCCCGAAAATGCCCTATGCTAATGCATGGGAATGGGGAGGCATTGCACTTCACGTGCAATGCTTTTGCATTGCACCAATTGACGCTATTCTCATAGCGTTTGGATTCTCAGTGTAAGTCTCCTCCAGCCTAGTGGCGTGAGCAGAGATTTGGGAAAGGGGGGGGGGGGGTGCAGGCGACGCATTTTGCCTACTTGCAGACTGCCGCAAATTGCCCACGTTCTAGGGAGCTATCTAGTGCCTTAGGGGGGAGAGAGTATCTACCCCCCCCCCCCCCCCCCTCGCGCACGATACAACTGCAGACTGCCACAGCCGCACAGTGGGCGAAAACACCACTTCCGACGCGAAAGTGTCCAAATGTGAAAACTTAAGTCCATGATCAAAGTTTTTCTCAGGAGGTTCAAAAAAACTATGCAGAATTCAAATCCAGCATCGGTTTTCCGATAGAGAACTTCATCTATTTTCAGGAAGGCTCGATAGTCTAAGGTTTCATTTTTCTGTTACTTTCCCTTAAAATATTGTGGACTTTGTAGTTAATATGTGCTTTTCGCTGTCCACGTAAAGAAAAACTGAGCACAGGTCCGACTAGAGCACTTTCTGGCGATTCTAAAACCGTTCTTGGATTGTATTTTGGCCTACAAATGACCATTATGCTGCCATTTTAGGGAAAGGCGTAAAGTCGTAATTTTTCAGTTTCTTTCGGCGGCATCAAAAGCCCTACAGAGCTCCACATCCGCACTAGGCTGAATCGATATAAAAAATGTGTCCCCTTCACGATGGAGCAAAAATTAGATACTCCAATCCACTCGCTGCCCTTTTTGGTAACCTAATTTCTATCTGTACACAGAGCAAAAACACTGGTGAAACTAAAGCGTAGTATTACCCACGGTTTTCAAGCGTAATCAGTTTACGCTTGAAATCAAGCGTTACAGGCTCATCCGCCAAGATTTTCCCTATCTAAATGCATGGGGGAATTTCTAGCCTATGCTTTATTTCAAGCGTAACGTCTTCAAGCGTAACTTTATGCTTGACTGAAGCATTGAGTTGCGCTTTAGTTTTACCAGTGAACGCAGTTATTCGTTATTTTGTCGCGCGCGCGGTGCTTCGCATGGCTGTAAGTCTGGCATTTTCCATTCAAACCTATAGCATGCGCAGACATGTCTTGTTTGTCTTGTCAAGGCGAATCCATTTCTATAAAGAATTGTCGATTTGGACGATTTTGAAAATTTAGTCCAACCCCTTGCAAATATTAATAAGGCATTCCATTGAATTTTAAGACAGATTTCAATGAAATTTTATTTCAAAGTATGAACGACGTTTCTAGCTGCCCTCAGAACCTACGGGTTAATTTCAGACTTGCAAAGCGAAAACAAGACTTTTTCACGTGGAAAGGGGTGTTTCCGCCCGCTGTGTGCCGGGCCCGCACGCCGAGGATGGGACGCCTGCGGCCGGAGATGGTGGGCCAGCCCGCACCTAGTGCACGCGCTGTGGGTTGCCTATGCAGCCTTGCAGGCGCACCCGCTCCGGCCAAGAAAATTGTTTGTTACCGTTCACCTGTGACTTAAACGAAGCTTCTTAGAAAGATTTGATCGCAGTGGTCATTGATATTCACTATCCTAACTCCTCATACTGACCGATCTGGGTTACTTCCGCCGCGGGCTGATCAGGACCGCAAAGAAACGGGCTCTCAGGGCGGTCCAAGGGTGCAGATGTGGACATGCCCCTCCATATCTCTCAGGCCTCTCAAATACACAGCTCAATATTTTAAGGGGTTGTTTAATGATGTTAAGGGAACGTCTGTGCAAAGTTTCAAAAATATCAAAAAATACGAAATTGGTGTTTTGGGTTAAGAAAGTTAATTAAAAGTGAAAAATAACAAGAAAATGAATTTTGACTCGATGTGCATGTTTTATACGTCATTCGAAGCGGAATTGTACCCTCTTTCACGCGCTTTGCTCGGTTTTTCGATATCTCAAACGGTTCAAAAGTTATGCGCACTTTTGTGAAACTATGAATTTTTTTTATTAAATGTACCAAAAAAGAGCCATGTCTATATCTCCCAAACCACTTGACTCAGACCAAAACTGTTTTACACCGTTCATAAGGACCCTAATTGGTGGCGAAACACAAAAATTCAGACAGTTTTGAGGTGGTCGATCCCTCGACCTCGGTGAATTAGCGTGGAATGACCCTGCAGCGAAACTTCTATCTGACATAAAAAGTAACTGCAAGACAACCCAGAAGGCCGTTGATGAAATTGTACAGGGCATAGATTATCTGATGAACATTTACTTGGACGTTTTAAAGGTACAACCTATTGTGAATCCATTCTTAAAATCAACAATATTTTTTGAATATTTTAATGACCATATTTTTTGGCTAAATTCCTGTTAAATCATGGTATTTTTATTCTATTTAACCCACATATGTTTGAAATTCCTTTGTTTGTTATGTTTTTAGGAGAACTTTGTTCAGACAGCGTATGGGCAAGCAGTTTCCCACGATGATGTCCTTTCTTTTCTTGAGAGTTTTAAAGGACAGTCAATTTTTGAAGGAGTTGGTACGCAGACTGAATTGGAGACCTACCTTAAGCATTCAAGCGGAGGGAGCAATGTTGAGTTAGATCAAGTTGTCCTGGAGTATAAGGAAGTTTTGAACAAGCAAGGAATACCTCGAAGAGTTCCTTTAAAATATGGCTATGTGATACCATTTCTTCCTCAATTGGAACAACTCCTCAATTGCAAGGATGTGCTGGAATGTGTTGACAATCCTTTACCTCTTGATGATGAACTTTATCGAACAGTGACTGATGGTCTTCTTTATAAATATCATCAAGTAACAATGGAACATGGTCCACAAACTTTATGCTTTATCATCCATGTCGACGATGTTGAACCATGTCATGCCTTGAAATCCAAAACTGGTAAGCATAATGTAAGAATGTTTTATTGGATTTTAGGCAATATTCATCCTGATAAAAGATCTTCACTGAAGGCCATTAATCTTCTTGCAATAGTGAAGGTAAAAGTTGTAAAAGAATTTGGAAATGACCACTTCCTTGAGGACTTTGTTGAGGGTATGAAGAAATTGGGCACAGAAGGAGTAGTCTTCAACATACAAGGTGTTCCAAGAAGATTTCATGGGTTTCTGCTGTTTGCCTCTGCAGACAATCCGGCTGCTGCCAATCTTGGTGGTTTCAAGGAGACTATGGCTGCTTTGAGACCATGCCGTATGTGCATGGTCAAGTCTATTGATTTAAATAACAGCTTTTTGGAGAATCCTGATCTCTTGAGGAAGTTAGAGGAACATAATGAACATGTGAGGCAAGTACTTTCATTTCAGGGTAAAAGGACAAGAAGATCAGTACGTCATGTGCGTGTTGTGAACATAAATGTTGATGATGAGATTGAAGAAGCCTGTGACATTGATGTGGCCGATGAAAAATATCTGGACCACTGGCATCCTTCAACAAACTTTGGTGTGAATGGCAAAAGCATTCTCTCTGATTGTCCAGGGTTTGATGTGACAAAATGCCTCGCCCAGGATATCATGCATGTGCTGGCTGAAGGTGTGGTCGAAGTGCTTTGTCGTCGTATTTTGAAAGATCTGTGTTTCCCTCCTCAACGTCAAGGGCGGAGAGTGACACCACTTTTATCGCTGGACTTTGTCAACAAATTAATACAGAGCAAGTGTGATTTAGGACATTATGAGACAAGTAGGCCTTCTGTAATTGAAGCTTCTCATGTGAATGGAAAGAAACTTAGACAAAGTGCCTCTCAAATGATGGTTCTACTGCACTTAATGCCGTTTATAGTTCATAATATTTGTCCTCAAGAAAAGCTTGATCTGATCATTCAATGCATCAAGCTTGTCAATTTGTGCAAGTCTTATGAACATAGTAAGAGTGATGTCTCCACTGTGAGAATTATGGTGGAACATTTTGGAAACTCTTTTGTTCAAGTTTATCCTGATGTGAAGATTTTGAAGCTTCACTGCCTCGCTCATCTGGCAATGCAGGTCAGTCTCAAATAGAAACCCGAGCTCTTACAGCATCACTGCTTGAAAGCCTCCAAATGTTTAAAGTCTTTCTTTGCGCAGATCCGTCTTCTGGGCCCACTTCGACAACAAGCCTGTTACCGCTCTGAAAGCATGCACACCAAGGTCACATCTGTTGCACCTGTGGTCCGATGCAAGAAAAATATTGCTTTCTCCTGTGCTTCAAGATACTTGTCAGAAAGAAATGCGGAGATAATGGAAGGCAAAGCAAACGGAAATTTTCTATATGAAGGTGATGTGGTTAAAGGTGCTAAAGCAATTGTTGTGTCCAGCCTTCCCCAAAGTGATGCCTTTTTGGAAAAGTACAGTGAACTTACAGAAAGCAGTGTACTTTTTGAAATGAGAGAAGTTTCAAAGGCTGGAAGGAATTGGTATACTGGTGGAGTTGTAATGGTGGAAAAGGCTGGTGCTGATTCAAAATTTGGACGAATTCATAAACTCTTCATTAATGAAGCAGGAGAGATCATTTTTTTGTGTAAGAGCTATGTGACACAATTTGTACCAGCTCTTAAGGTTACTGTAAAGTGAAAAAATGTGAAATATCATTTTCCAAAATAATTGTGGCATCATGTTTGTATTTAGGTTTCAGGTTGCTTACTATAAGATGAACTTAAACCCAAAGTTGAGGCACTCAACTCCCATTATTTTCTGAGTTATTGCAGTTTACGTAACAAATTTAGTCGTTTACTAAAAATTCTCCTTGCGATGAACCAAAAGTTGTCGAGACTTGATTTTTGTTTTACAAGTTCTTTATTGATTTGCCTATCTCGTAGCAAAGCCGGATTTCCAAAATTCCAACATAAAACAGGAATTTTTCTAAAAAAACTAAAAAAAACACCAAAAAATACCAAAATTTTACCAAATTTAAGTAAAAAATTCAAAACGCATTTTCCAAAGAGTAATTACAGCTTATCTATGCATATATTGTCAAATCCGGCTTTGCTAGTCTGTTTGCATGTCCATTAAGTCTTAAAATAAAAAGTCACACCTCCGTAAACTTTTTGGTTCATCGCAAGGAGAATTTTTAGTAAACGACTAAAATAACACTAAAACCCTCATAACTTTGGATCTAATGAGAGTTGGGAGTCCAGTCTGTGGCTGTAAAAGTTTTTCGTAGTAAGCAACTAGATCACCAAAAACCAAAGCACTGCCACCTATACTTTGGAAGATAGTTTTTTCACCTTACAGTAACCTTAATGCTTTCCAAGTTGTGAGATGCCAATCAGCATGTCAAGTTCTCAGCCTTTCAGATCTTCCATTCAGTTTTCCCATCACAAGATACTCTTTCAATCAAGCACGTAATGTTCCTGTGGCATATCTTCTTGTTCAGAGTCCAGGTGGAGATGTGTAGAAGTGTCTCTTCAATTGATGTCACAATTTCAATGAGAATGCTCAAGAATGGAAAGGTAATGCTTTAGACACAATAATTGTAATGCATGGTTTTGGTTAATATAGTTAATAATTCAGTTTAAACATAATGATAACTTAATTGTAAGCCATGACTTTATCATATATCCTTATGTGGAAAATACATGGCATGTGACTAAAAAATGGCACTCTGTGATAAACAATGAACAAAACAAGAAATGATTTAAGACTTTGCCATACTAATGAACAACTACTAAATAAATCATCGCTTCAAATAATTTGGCAAAGTGACTAAAAAAAGGCACTCAGTAATAAACAATGAACAAAACAAGAAATGTTTCAACACTTTGCCTTACTAATTAACAGCTACTTCATAGCTTCAAATAATTTTTTGAAAAATGTCTTGACTATTTTAGGTATTTTATTTAGCCTATCATCTCCATTTAAAATGTGGTGCAATGTCAGCAATTGCTTTTCATACACCTTGGGAAAATCAATGTTAAAGACAGCATATACAGATAGAAGTAAAGCTACACAGTCAAAGGCTCTTGGTTTGACCATACTGCATAGGGTCTCCCCATTGAACACTATAATAGCACTCACAAGTTCCTCATCATTTTGTACTGCTATAAGTGCAGGAGCTAGCCCTTTTGGAACCTTGTTGAAGATCTCAGTTGTGTCTATTGATGCCTGTTAACATAAAAGATTCTTATTTTATTTTTGTTTGGATTTATGTCACTCAAATATGCCTTTTTGTTTTCAGGTACGAATAAACTCACATCACAAAACTGGATGCATGGAAAATTTTCATCACTGACTTCGAAGTAATTCTCAATCTTTTGAAGTAGTTGAGCTTTATCTAATTCATTCTGAGGACTCTCATCTACTGAAAGGATTATTGCCAAAGGAGCCATAGAATGTTCAAAATTTTCCTCTAGCTTCTCAAGTGTGGATTCAATTCTTCTGGAAAAATCATACATCAACTGCAACAGAGAAAATTATAGGTGGGTTAAAATTTGTATTTTTGGACAACACTTACAATAATTATGTTTGTTAGTCATTACCAAATCTGGGTGTTTCAAATACTGATATAAATCAATTGCACTTTTCACAGGCATTTTTTGGATTGAGTCTGAAGTAACTACTGTCATTGCGTCCAGGGCTCTCTTTGATTCATCTTTGTTGCGGACTGGCTGTCTTAAAATATAATCTGCCTGATAAGCATCAATCACTCTCTGAGATGATTCAGCTCTCCTGCAAACAAATTAAAATTTCATAGACCTCCCTCACCATTTTCATTGAAACTAGCTGTGGTAAGTGCAAAATGCATTACCTTTCAGCATCTTTGGCCATTTGAATAAGTTCCCTTGCTGCTTCATATCTCTCTTTTTTATTCTGTTCCCAGTTCCTGTCATTACGGATGCTGGCACTTAAACTGCGACGAATGTGACCCTGTGAAAAGGATAGACAAGAAGTTGTCAGGGACAGATGCATCATCATTTTAAAGAAGCCCTAAAGAAACTTACTTTGTAGAACTTGAGACCAGGAATTTTCATTGATTTTAGTCGGGCCAAAACTTGAATTTCCAGGACTTTGTACTCGGATTTATATGGGTATAAGTCCTTCGTCACATTGAGGATGTGGGCCTTTAAGAACTCGTTCATCCTTTGTGTGTGAGTCTGTTTCCTATACACTAGTCCTTTTTCAAAACTTTCCACCAGCTTCGGTGGGAATGGTGGCAGTAATTTGTATATAGTAATTCTTTGTCCAATTGATCGTAATTTCTGCAAGAAAAATTATTGTCAGATTGAGGAAATAAGCAGTGCTAAAATTCTAGAAACGCATGGTGGTATAGCATACCTTGTTTGGCTTCCGCCTCTTAACAGCTTGTTTGGTTGAACTTTCCTGCAATACATCATGGTTTCTGCTGTTAATATTTTTGCAACTACAGCTTAAGTTAAACCTAACTTAGAGAAACTCAATATAGATAATAAATTACCTTAGGATTGCCTGTAGTTGAGTCAAAGAGCCCTGCGTCTGTAGAATCATTTTCTTTATCATTTTCCTCATCAGACAAAATGCTTTCATCAAGATCTTTTGGGAAATAAAATCATAAATTAGACTTTCAAGTGTCTTCAAATACACCAGAATGTTTTAAGTTTTTAGTAATTAGCAATGTTTTTTTCACAAGAAATAAAAATGTTCTGCTTACTTTCAGATGCCTTCGCACACTGCACAGTTTGAAGTCTTTCCGATCTGCGAAGCTGGTTATCGCCTGGAGGATCTTTTGCTGGGAGCTTCTTCTTTGGTGGCAACCGTGGTTTATTTTTGGGTACTAACATTATGGAAAGGTATCATGGTTAGATTTGTAATTGCAAAAACTAATTGAAAATTTGTCACCTGTTTGTATTTTACTTGACACTCACTAAAGTTCATATCCTCTAGGACAGCCATGTTGCTTTTCCTTCTTTCCTCAGCTTCTCTAAGATAATCATTATCATCATCAGAGGACTCCAAATCACTAGCGGGTCTGCAGTTAATCAGAAATAAAAATTAATCAAAGTCAATTGGTGTGTACTATTGTGATCATCAAATGTGTTTTAAACTAATGACATCAAACAAAGAACTAGATAATTTTAAACTTTTAACAGAAATGATCCATGCTATTAAATGCTATCTATGCTTTTAAATTTCAAACCAACATGTTGACTATACAGTATGTTCAAAATTTGTTAGTTTTTAAGTGCTTTCTATGTGAAACTGGGATATCATTGTTAATAGACATTTAACCTACCTCTTCCTTGACTTTGAAATTGTGCCTGCCTTTTTTTTGGTAGTTGCAGTTGTGACATCATTCCTGCAATGCATGGAAAATTTTAAATAGTGAAACAAAGTCTTCAAATAAAAAACTGTTGCAATGTAGCTGCTTACGTTGTGTTTTCTCTTGCTGTGGTGCCCTTTGTTGTGCTCGAGGTTGTGCTGCTGCTTGCTGCACTGCCTGGACCATTGCGATGGCTTAACACAATGCTCTTTGAGCTGCTGCTTGCTGCACTGCTGCTTCCACCACTGCACCGGGCTGAAGCATTGCTGCGAGACGCCACTTTCACACCTTAATTTACAAAATCAGCGGAATAGTTCATTCTTATCAGGCAAAAACCCTTTTACGATTATCAAAGAAATATTATTGTTACCAATTGAACTTAAGTATTCTTGCCCTTCATCATCTGGAGCCCTTGCTGGAGCCTTGGTTGCTTCATTTTCCTGCAACAGATATTTTATACTTATTATAAATGTTTTTTTTTTCCTTTTTTTTCTAAAAAGTTTTGGAAGTATTGCTGCACTGTGTTGTTGTTCACCATTAATTTTAAATTGAAAAAATATTTTTTTAAACTGCTGCTGATTTTGCATCTGTCTAGCTCCCCACCTATCCCCAATAAGCCATTTCTTTCATAACTGGAAAAATCCTTGGGGCTGGAGACTGGGGGAGTTGGGTGGCTGTGGAGGCAGTGGCGTAGCAAGCACCGGGTCAGAGGGTCAGCTGACCCCAGTTTTTGAGCTGCCCCGGGTCAATCCCCTGCGAGGAAGGCAACATGCAATGCATTGACCCCCCCCCCCACTTTTTTGGCGTTCCTACGCGCCTGTGTGGAGGTGTGAAATCGCTGGCTTTGTTTTGCCTAGATAGGCGTCGAAACAAGGTAAGCAGATCGCTCAGCCCTGTGATTTCAAACTCATTGTCGTGCTGTCTCTCTCGCACTTGTGGGGCGTTCTGTTGAAGAGCGAGAGAGAGAGAGAGAGCGACACAGTCCTATCAAAGTCCATCCTTTACATCCCTTATGGTGTACTCACACGTGCAGCGAATGTAGCGAATCTGACGGTGACCGGCTGGGCCGCAGTCAGAGTGTCTTCATCCTCCAACTCCACTTCCTGGTTAAGCTCTGGATGCATCGCATAGAACGTTGGATGGTGGGTGACCAAGCGCCTGGTGAAAACGGGGTCTCTTCGGCACATCGCCACGAAGGACTCCCGAAACGCCAGGACGGTCGGCTCGCACTTCAGCGCCTTCACTCTGCCTTCGACCAGCACCACAACTTCAATCATTTTCAACTAGATAATTAGCGAGGTAATCGACAGTCCTTCGCAGTCTTAAACAGTCTTCCACCGGCACCAATTTTCAAACTAATCAAAGCTCCAACCGCGCAGGACGGTGCGGCAGGCATACCAACGCTGACAAAACAAAGAAACAAAAGGAAATGATTCCCACAACAGCGAAGTTTCGAAGGCAGTTGCGAAACTGATAAACTTTTAACTTGATTTCGTTAATACTTCTTCATTTCTGTCAAAAAAGTTTTCTGACTCGGTGAAATTTTAAATTTTGGTGGTTGAAGCAACAGGTGGTAGCCATTGGAATGTTCTTAGCGGGCGGTGACATTTGTTTACTTCCTTTTTCAAACACAAAATGGCTGGTGTTTTGGCTGTGAGGAGATTTTACCCAAATCTTTGCACGGATATTTCAAGTTATACTTCGATGGATTCGATGACATCGCCTTGGATAACTGAGCGGCGAGAGTCACGATGTCGACCCGTCTGAACGCCGGGGCTTGTCAAAGCGTCATCGAGATGATTTAAGTCTGGCTTGTGGTGTCACCACACTTACTAAACAGGTTAGTGGTGATAGTGATTCCACACTGTTTTGACTGCAGCCTCAATTGGAGGATTGCTTCAATGTGGTGCGTTGAGAATTTATCTAGTGATTGTTTGATTTAGTGGAAGGGGATTGGCTTGAGCCCATCAAATTGACAAGCTGTGACTATGCAAACTAATGGCTGAAAATGATCGTTTCAAAACTTGCAAGATGTGGCTTAGGCAACAGAGCAGAGACGGAAATGATTTATGGGTGATCTGAGATTTAAAAGAGCATGTTTTTACCATTGAGATAACTCTTTTCATCACCCAGTTAAACCCGTTGGAAACCTTGTTTACTCGGTGCCTGGCCAACTAGCAATTCAATTCTGCGTGCTTATCCCAGTACGCACTTTGAAATGCGTGCTTGGTAAGCATGCACTTGTAAGAGCGTACTTGGATGAGTACGCTTCTGCAAGTGCATGCTTGACCAAGCACGCTCCTCAAAGTGCGTACTGGGATAAGCACGCTCCTGGAGAAGCGTGCTTGGAAGCATGCACTTAGAAGTGCGTACTGAGTACGCACTTAAATTTTGTGTGCGTGTTGTAAGATTGCCTTTCGAAGCTTTGGCTTTGCTGACTTTAGGACTTCAAGTAGCGCTTTGTGCGTATGTGCACGTGGAGCCATTATCAGAAAATGATCTAGAGTGGACCTTCCATCTCTCTTTTATACTTATTTTTCGGAATGTATATGACAGTAGACTCCCCCGGGAAAAGGAGCGAGCGCATTCGCAAGTGATCTCTTTGTTTGGGGTGAAAATCGAACAGAATGTAAGTGTGGCCCACTTTAGTAGCGTCTTCGTAGGCCTCATGCAAGGCACGCCAGTTAGTGGGGTCGACTTGAAGGCAGAACGTTCGAATTTGGGCTAAATCTCGCGAAGTTTTGAACAGAACAATGTAATGCGAGTTAAGACTGATTTGTCGCATCCCATCGGGAAACAAACACTGACTCAAAAAGAAAATGGACAGATTCCGATGGCTTGATCCCTTGATGTAAAATTTGAGTAATTCTTTGTTGTGGTGTTTAAGTTCTTCCATAAAATCATCTATGATCAGTAATTTGGGCCCTTCCCCCGAAGGAAAGTCATTCAGAATGGGAAGTTCTTGTCTGAAATCAACGACTGTTCGTAGATCATCATACATACTTTGCCATTCTGAGTAAAAATAAATTATTTTTTCAAAAGCTGTGCTAAACATTGCCTCTCTGTTTTCAATCAATTTCTTCATGAAGAACGTTTTCCCAGCGCCTGTTCCACCCACTATGAGGGCCGTGCATGGATGTTGAAAAGTCAAGTCCATTGTTGCAGTGAGAATGAGAGAGACGGCAGGGGGGCCTCTCTTTTATACCATTCTTGGCTCAGCGCGGCGCGGCGCAGCGCGCCCACCGCCCGCCTGTTTTACTGTTCAGCTTCTAGTGCTGCCAAATAGTACTCCAACCACAAACCGAGGCGGCGCGCGTTCTTGGCAGTACACTCATAGTAAGGTGTTGTGGTGTGAATGATGTTGCGACAACGCGCCGACAGGACAGGGAGTTTGGATGGTGGAGGTACTTTGTAGTGTATTAGATCTTTCACGGTTTTGCCAGGTAGTAAGGATCGAAGCAACTTTGCTTTATCATCTCCCTTGACGTAGAGTACTGCAAATGGCGCAGTGAGACACTCCAGCGTGCTTATCAGCGTGGAGTATGGACGTTCGCCCTCATCCCATTCCAGGCCGTGTTTATTGAATGTCAGATCTTCATTCTGCTGTCTCACTGATTTTTTCAGTGACTTGGCAGTGTAGGGCGGCCCAAAAGTGGTCATAGCAATGAACTCGCCATTTTTTTGCGCTTTGAAAACGCTGAACTCTTTGACTAAGTAAGCTCCTTTTTTTCCCTGCATCAGCTGCATGTCACACGTGGCATACTTCACGGCTGACATCGTGACACTGATGTCTGCAGCTTTGCTCAGCGAGGCTTTATACTCTGGGCCTGGCCGCGGGGCGGCGCGGGGCCTGGGCCGGGCCGCGGGGGCAGCGAGGGGCCGCGGGGGCGGCGTGGCGGGGCGGCGCGGGGCAGCGAGGGGCCGGGCCGCGGGGGCAGCGCGGCGCGGGGCCGGGCCGGGCCGGGCCGCGGGGGGGGCCGCGAGGGGCCGGGCCGAGGGGGGGCGGCGAGGCGGGGCGGCGCGTGGCGTGGCGGGGCGGCGTGGCGGCGCGTGGCGTGGCGGTCCGGGCGCGTTTTCTGTCTCGGCGCGACGAGAGCGCCGTCGCGTTAGGCAATGTGGCGTACGCGCATGCTCTGCGGGGCTGAGTAGTGGCCTAGCTGCCAGGCGCTGTCATAACTTCTCCCCTGGGGCCGGCTTGCAAACTCCCCCGCGCTCATTTTTTTGTCATTTTTTCAGTTTTTTTTTTTTTCGTTTTTTTTTGTCATTTTTTTCTTTAGTTCTACGCCACTCTCAGTTTGTCCATGAGGAGGTCCAGCGCTTCAAGGACATCCTGGTCCTCGTCTTCCACGTCCCCATAGGGGTTGTACCCGAATGGGACGGTCCGTTCGAGATCGACTCGGCGGCGCTTCGTGTTCTTTGCCTGCCATGTCTTGACTGCAGGTCGCGTCACGACTTTCCAAGAGGGAAGGCGGGCAATCTGATGAGAGATGGGAACAACAACCTTCTCTTTCTCTCCCAACACCATGGCCTCCCGAGTAAAAATAGAAGGCTGCAGAAAGGCTGACGCACGGCTGACGCATGGCTGTATGGACCGTTTTTTGGCTGTATGCATGGCTGCCGTGGCTGCGTTGCAGCCATGTCGCAGCCATAGCGACGTCCTGGACTTGCAGCCATGCACGCTGCAGTGGCTGGTCTGGCTGTTTCACGGAGCGCTTTGGCTGTGAAACGCTTCAGAAGCTGCGCACAGAAGCCTTTTGGCTGCCCTAAGCAGCCTACAAACGCTGCCACGCACAGCCAACTTAGCTGCAGTGGCTGCAGGCTGTGCGTCGCAGCGTGTTGGCTGCTAGCGCCAGCCCTGCCGCGGCTAGACGTTACAGCCATGTAGGTTGCAATGGCTGTAGGCTGCGCGTCGCAGCGTGTTGGCTGCTGGCGCCAGCCCTGCCGCGTAGACGTTACAGCCATGTAGGCTGCAATGGCTGTAGGCTGCGCGTCGCAGCGTGTTGGCTGCTGGCGCCAGCCCTGCCGCGTAGACGTTACAGCCATGTAGGCTGCAATGGCTGTGGGCTGCGCGTCGCAGCGTGTTGGCTTCTGGCGCCAGCCGGGCCCCGGCTGCACTTTACAGCCACGTAGGCTGCCATGGCTGTAGGCTGCGCGTCGCAGCGTGTTGGCTGCTGGTGCCAGCCGGGCCTTGGCTGGACTTTACAGCTATGTAGGCTGCCATGGCTGTAGGCTGAGCGTCGCAGCGTGTTGGCTGCTGGCGGCAGCCAGGCCGCGGCTGGACTTTGCAGCCAGGCGGGCTGCAATGGCTGTAGGCTGCACGCTGCGCGTCGCAGCGTGCTGGCTGCCAGCGACAGCCTGGCCGCGGCTGCACTTTCCAGCCACGCAGGCTGCAATGGCTGTAGGCTGCGGGTCGCAGCGTGTTGGCTGCCGGATGCAGCCGGGCTACGGCAGGACTATACAGCCATATGGGCTGCAATGGCTGTAGGCTACGGATGCAGCATGGTGGATGCTGTCGGTATTCAGGCGCACTCCTTGATTAAAGGGTTATAAAAAATAGAAAAAAATAGAATGGGTGCGTGGTATGCTGATATTTGAGTTGAATACGTTAACACACATAAGCCATGCAAGTTTCGTAAAAATCGGGACACTTTTTTGTTATCTTTGATATCTCGGGAACGGTAAGTCCTAGATGAAATTACTTACCAGATTTGGATCTGGAACGGTGTTGGGACCCTAGAAAATCTACTAAGGGCTCCATAGAACTTCAAAGGGCGTAACAGGCACCCTCAAAGGTCGTCATGGGGACCTTCATGTACTAAGGAGTGAAGCCTAGTAGCGATATGGGTGCTGCCGATGGCATCCACGAAGCTGCAGGATGCGGCCGAGATGTGGCTGTGATCCGCAGCTTCATAGCTGCCGGGTGCAGCGTGGCCCGGGCGAAATAAGGCTGCCTGGAGCATCCTGAAGGCTGCGGGGTGCAGCCTACAGCAGCGCCTCACAGCCTCCAGGCTTCCGGAGGCAGCGTGGCCCGGGAAAGGAAAGCTGCCTGGGGCATCCTGAAGGCTGCGGGGTGCAGCTTAGAGCAGTGCCTCGCAGCCTCGTGGCTGCTGGGGGCAGCGTGGCTCGCGAAGGAAGGCTGTCTGGCGCATCCTGCAGGCTGCGGGGTGCAGCCTAGAGCAGCGGGGGCAGCGCTGACTGGGCTCTAAAGGGACACTTCAGTGGCTGGCAGGTGCAGCCTGAGACGCTGCACCGGCTGCGGATGGCTGTATTTTGGCTGACGTATGTCCGAATACAGCCAATGTCT